CCCAACACCCTCTGGGTCTGAGTCTGTCTTCAGCGACTGCGGCGGCAGCCGCGCGGGCAGCACGGAGGACGCCGGTGGCGTTGGTTTGTGCGCTCAGTCCCGGATAACTGAGCCGGGCGAGGCTGTGAAGAAAGATCTGCAGCACCTGAGTCGGGAGGAGCGTCGGCGCCGGCGGCGTGCCACGGCCAAATACCGGACAGCCCACGCCACGCGGGAGCGCATCCGCGTCGAAGCCTTCAACATGGCCTTCGCCGAGCTGCGGAAGCTGCTGCCGACCCTGCCGCCGGACAAGAAGCTCTCCAAGATTGAGATCCTCCGCCTGGCCATCTGCTACATCTCCTACCTGAACCACGTGCTGGACGTCTGAGTCGCCCAGCCTGCGTCCGTCTGTCTGTCTGCCACGTCTGCTACCTGAACATGTGCTGGGCATCTGAGCCAAGAGCTCAAGTCCGTCTGTCCATCTATGACCTGAACCACATGTTGGGCATCCAAAATGCTGTGCCTGTGTTCATCTGTCTGTTCAAATGGACCAAGTCCCCAGCTGCCTGCTCTACCCCCTATCTGAACTATGTTCTGTATTTCCCTACCACCAAGCCCACGTCCATCTGTCTTTCCATCCTGCCTGGGTCAGGCTGGATGTTTGGTCCATCGGCCATCTGTCTGTCCTGCTGGATCTGCTGCCTGAAGCCTGTGCTGGCCGTGTACGCTCCCATCTTCTGTCCGTTCTGCTGCGTGTCCCACTGATACTGCCTACGGGATCCTGAGCCCGTCAGTCTGTCCGCCACGTCCTCTCCCTGACCCACAGCAGGAGCTGCTGAGCTGTGCATCACCTCTTTTATAAGAGCCGCAAAAAAATGGACCTGTGAAACACTGCGGCACCAAGCAGCCCCGGGGTCTTGTCTGTCTGTCTGTCTGTCTGCGCCTTCTGCCACCGGCCGCCCCATCAGCATGGCCAGTCCGGGCATTTTGTCTGTTTGCTGCTGCTCTGCCCCTGGCATCGTGCTGGGCACGTCAGGACCGTCCTCTCTGCAGAGGGAGCACAGCCCGGGAGGATCCTTGGGCACAGAGCAGCTCCTCTGTGTTTGTCCTGGCTTTTCACACCTCAAAAGGAAACACCAAGTGTGGTGCAGACCTCCCAGGACCTGACCACGCTTTCCACGGATGACAGCGGCAGCTTCCCCTCGAGACAGAGCAGAGAGGTGCACTCTGCTCCCGTGCCAGGCTGGAGCAGCACCCAGGGTCTCTCCGAGCCCCTCCGTTGCACATCTGGTCTCCTCAAAGCTCAGCACCCTGCTCCCCAGCCCTGTGCATCCCAGGCTTTGCTGCCTGATCCTCCTTTGCACTAATGCACAATGAGTGTGAAGCCGCCCCCGTGCCAGCCTGGCCTGTTGCACCGACAGACACGACCACTCCAGGGCACCAGACCTCCCCATGCAGCACTTCATCCCTCCCCACTCTTCCTCTGTCTCCTCTTCAGTGCCCCTGGTGAAAAAGGCCTGAGTGGGGGTCACAAGGGTGGCACGTGCCCCAGCACGGGGGGACACTGGTGCTCAGCTCCCCCAGCACCGTGTCCCTTCTCTGCAGTGCAGCTGGGGCTCATGTGCAAAGAGACTTTGCTCCGGCGTGCTGTGGGCCCCCCCCCAGTTTACACCAGTACGGCACTGGTGCAGCGTGACCTTTCACAGCACGTGCTCTCCTGCGGTAAACTGCACTTTACCTGCGGCTGGAGAGGGGAAGAAGCAGGCACGGTCCCTTTGCCCAGCTTCCAGCAGCCGGGGGTCTCCCCACCCCCCCCTAACACGGATCAGCACTTTGGGAGCGGGCGGGGAGCGGGAAGGACCCCAGCAGCCTCTTCTCCAGCAAGGGTATGCTGAGGCTGGGGAAAGCTCGTTGCAAGAGTGAATGTTTTGCCTTGTTTTATGGGTGTTTGTTTTAAGAGTTAATTTTGCACTGGCAGTGGCAAGAGCACAAGCAGAGCCCAGGCGAGGGACCAGGACCGCGCCGAAACCACTGACTGTGCTCAGAGCCAACGCTCCGGGCCGGGAGCAGAGCCATAGCCTGGCCCACGGGGAACGGGCTGGGGCTGCTCCTCGCTGAGCCTCACCATGAGCCGGGCAGTGGTCCGGCACACAGGGTGGGTGCTGGGACAGATGGGCTTTGGTGTGCCAGAGCTGAAGTGTTGATGGTGAGAGGGTCGGGTGCCGCGTCCGGCGAACACCAGCAAACCCCCAGAGCTGGAGCAGGGGGTCCCAGAGCACCTACCCCCCTCTGCCCTCCGGGGTCCCACCCTCCCGAGGTGTTGGCCACTACCCATACGCCGGGTGTCCGAGTCCCATCTGGGCTTCCTGGGACCTTGCAGCCCTCCTGGCTCCATCCCACCCCTGTCACTGCCGCCAGCTCCCAGCAACGCCTCGCTCCGTACCTCATTCTACCCCCTCCCCGTAAAAGCAGGGAGAACGATCGCTACCTCTGTCTCGCAAGGACTCGCCAGTAAACGTGGGATCCCCGAGGGCTGGAGCAGCGGATCCCGCAACTGGCTTCCCCGTCACCGCACCGCTCAGCGGGGCAGCGGCAGAGCAAAACAGAGCAGGGCAGCCCACCCTTCCCCTCCGCTCACTAGCCACGTCTCTGTGCCACGAGGATATTTATTGAATTAATTTATTGATAAATGTTATTATTTATTTGCTGTGTTGTGCACTTTTGGGAAAGGAAAACTAGAAAACAAAACAAACAAAAAATAATAATGACCACGGCGGAAAACCAACCAACCCACCCTCGTACGCGGTGTGCCCCAGCGTGTGTTTGTCTTGGCTGTTCAGACTGTGCAAGGATTTATTATTTATGAGTTCACAAGGAAGTCAGGGAGGGGGGAAATGAATTAAACTGCCAGCAAAAGAGAGATCTTGAACTTGGAGTGCTCGGCTTCCCTTTTTCTTTCTCTTTTTTTTTTTATTTTTAATCTTGTTTTTAACCATCTCTTCCTTGTGCTCTTTGGTGGTGGTGGCAGATTCCCCATGCAGGAGTTGATGGCCGTGGCTGTGAAAGGAGGCGGTGGGAGGGAGGCCATCACCCAGCGCTCCAGCTGAGGGTCCAGGACGTGTCCTCTTGGCACTCGAAGAGTCCTACCAGCACCGGCCGGGTTGGGAGCCAGGGTGCACGCCATGTCTTTGGCTTTCCCCAGCTCTGCGGTCACCGTGGAGCCCAGCTTGTGTTTGCTGGGACAAGCAGACCCCCAATGGCCCAGTCTCTCTGGTGACAGCAGAGGGATAAGGACATCTGCTCCAGACATCAGCATCTCCAAACACACCCAATAAACCACCTTCTCTTTCCCGCATCCCCCTGGGAAATCAGTGCAGCCCTGGCTCCAAAGTCACCCATCGCTTGAGCCCCCGCGGTCCCCTTCTCCACGTCCCCCAGCCCTCTCCCCTGCGACCCCTCAGCGCTCTCCCCGCTCCCTCGGCCCGCCCCGAGCTACGCGGGGAAGCAAGTTTGCGGCTCGTCTCCTTTGTCTGCGCCGATCCTGCGCGTCCCTGGGGGCAGGTTGCAGCTGTTCGCCGACTTGCTCCAAATTTCTTCATATAATCAATTGGCCTCGGCTGCAGCTCGGCTCAGCAGAGATGCGTCAAAGGGGAAATAATAAACATGGGGGAGGGAGCGGGAGAAGCAAGCGGGGAGACTCTGCACCGGGCTGCAGCATCGGGCTGCAGGGGCAATAGCGGCTGGGGGGGGGGGGGGGGGGGGGCGGGCGGAGGGCCGGGGGCGGGGACATCGGTGCTCCCAGGGCTCCTTTTTGTCCTGGTTCACGGATTTTCCCCGGTGTTCTCCCCTTGGGATGCACCGTGTTCCCACCGCCTGCATCCAGACCCAGCTCTTCTCCCCATCCCTCCGGCACCAGCCTCCACGCACGGAGGTTTGCGCAGGACGGCCATCTCCATCCCACCCCCCGAGCCGTGCGCTCTCTCCGGGAGGTGGTAATCGGGTTAGGGCAGCGCGAGCTCCGCGGCGGCGGCTCCCAAACCTCTGCGGGGCCCGTTGTTCCCGGCTGCCAGCCCCGGCCCTGACATATGGTCCTCATTGTGCCTCGCACAATGGAAACACTTCATGCTAATTTCGATGCTGGTTCTGGCCTTGCTGTCATCTCCGACAGATTGGGTCCCTTGCCTGCTCTTTGTGCTTGCGGGCAGGCAGGGGAACAGGCAGCTCAGCTTCTCCTCTACCTCCCCGAGCGTTTTCCTCGACACTTCCCAACTCTTTCTCTATTCCCACAGCTATTTCCTTCTCTCTTCCTCCCCACACGCATCTCCATATCTCCATCTCTCCATCCCTCCCCTGGCCTCTGGAGGACGCTGGTCCCGGTGTGCAGGTAGGTGTGTGCACGAGGAATGTTTCACAATGGCTTTTCAATTGAAAAATACCCACGGAAAATAGTCCTGAAGGTGCAGATAAACAGATACGCATGGAACTGCCCAGCTGCTTCTGCCCGGTGGCATTTCTGTGTCCCTGACCCGGGGACCACGAGGTGGGGGTGGCTGCTGGACCCCTTCCACGTCCCTTCCTCCCCCCAAAAAGCAGTAGCTGGGGCAGGACGTGACACCCCGAGTTGGGAAGGGGGAAGGACCCCCTCCTTGTCCCAGCCTCCCACCCCAGGGCCAGGCTGCCTTCGAGTGCCCTGGTCCCCCCCCGGGGGTGTCACCGTGGGCAGCAGCTGTGTCCCCAGCTCGCCTGCGCGAGGCGGCAGTGCCATCTGCTGGGTCCCCGAGATGGGGTCCTGCACACTCACATCAGACCCCTGTCACCCCCCAAGCTGGGGGGGACCTCGGGCCCTACCAGCCGGGCCCTGGAGCATCCCTGTCCCCTGCAAATGGACCCACCGCAAACCCTGCTGCGGCTCGGAGGGAGGGCTGGGACCGGGACCAGGGCAAGGGACGAAGGCAAGCAGCACCTGGGTGTGTACGTGGGACCTCCCCAAAAGCATCCTTCGCTATCCTATCACTTTAAACACTCATTTCGTGCTTGGTTTAGAGCACTGGGGTCCCCTGAGGCCACGATACCGATCAGAAATGGGTGGCTGGGGGAGATGGGCCCTGGCCCAAAAGGGCTGATGGTCTCTCTAGATAAAGCCCGTACCCGGTCCCTTCCTACAAGACATGGAGCAGAAGCTAAAGACCCATCAGCTGCCTCGCACCGGCGATCGCGTAGGGGAGATAAAGAGCCAGACAGCAGCGTGGCAAGAGCCGGGTGCGAGGTCGGGCAGCGGGGGCAGTTTGGGACCCGTGTGTCCCCCTCGGGCAGGGTCCACAGTTCCTGGGACTGGGAGAGGAGAGCCGGCGGGCCGAGGAGGGTCTGATGCGACCCAGGGCGTGCAGA